AAAAAAAATAACGTTTACTAGCGCTTGGGAGTGACAGTGTGTTAATTAAGGGGAGGGTAAGGTCAAATCATGCGAAAAAAGCCAGTTTTTTGTGATTTTTTTCCTGACGACACAGTTAAAATTTATTAATTTAACCAACAGTATATTAAAGTATGACATTAGAAGAATGTTTTATCAAATTTGTACAAAAAAATATTTAAAAATATGGCAATAGTAGCAATTGTCCGGACGTGTCGCCAAAAAAAGTTGAATTGCGGTGCCCCTCATAACTCGGTGCTGGATCATTTGTAATCAAAAAATAAAAATTCATTCGTTAGATAATAGTTCGCCCCAGGTAACGCTGTGAAGGTTTTTTAAAAATTGCAATTTTTTAATTTTTTTGAAGACTTTGAAGTGAAAAACTCAATTTTTTGGGAAAAAATCGGTTAATTTGTCATTGCAAAATCAAAATATGAACACAAAAAAAAAAACTCGACAGCGTTACCTCGCAAAATATGTACAGAAATAGTGTTTAAAATTTCAAAAGGATCGGTGCAGTAGTTTTGAAGTTATGAGGGGCACCGACTTTGAAAACGTGACTTGTGGGAAAAACGCTTTAAAGTTTTAAACACAAAAAAATCCAGTGTAAAACGTTTATAAGCAACTTCGTCAATAACTAATAACTTCGTCAATTTTGCTTTAATTGACTTGACACAATTTTGACACAATATTCTTCAGATATTATGCATTCAATTTAAAAAATAAAAAAAAAAACAAGAAAGCAAAGCTAACTTCGGGCGGAGCCGAAGTTGATATACTCTTGCAGCTAAAACCGGATATATATCGCAAACATCGGATATAGTTGGCCGATCCTTATGATTACATCATAATAAACCCAATTAATTACAATAAAAAATCTAAAAAAAAGTCCCAAGCTTCTATCTTCAAAAATATGAAAGTTCATATTTCTACCAAAAACCATTTCCGATCGTACAGTTATATGTCAGCTATAAGATATAGTCAACCGATCGTTATAAAATTTGGTAGATCGGATTAACTGACCAAAAATATAATCTGTACCAAGTTCCAGCTTTCTATCTTTAAAAACACGAAAGTTGGGTCATTTCCGATCGTTCAGTTATATGGCAGCTATAGGATATAGTCAGCCGATTCTTATGAAATTTGGCATGTCATAATATTTTGAATAAATAGCTCTCATGTCAAATTTGAACTCTCTAACTCTAAAAACACCAAAGTTATACCATTTCCGATCAATCAGTTATATGGCAGCTATAGGATAGAGTCGGCCGATCCCGGCCGTTCCGACTTATATACTGCGTGCAAAGTCGATAGCTTTAAAACTGAGAGACTAGTTTGCGTAGAAACAGACAGACGGACAGACGGACATGCTCATATCAACTCAGGAGGTGATCCTGATCAAGAATATATATTCTTTATAGGGTCGGAGATGTCTCCTTCACTGCGTTGCACACTTTTGGTCAAAATTATAATACCCTCTGCAAGGGTATAATGAAAAAAAAAAAAATTTAATACCTTATCCTCCTCTTAAAAGAATAAGCGCAATGGAAGGGCACATTATTGCTCCGGAACGCTAGCAAGAGTGTACTGACTTGTTTTGGGAAAAGCTTCAACAATTTTCCTAATTTCTTAATGTAATTGGTCTCGTTTTATCAAAGTCCGAATAACACGACAAAAAAGCCAAAATGTCAGTTCTTGTGTAAAAATGTTATCCTTTTTTTGAAGATATCCCTAAATGTATTTTTTTTCAAAAGCTACAGCATTTAGCTATTCAGAAATTTTACGGGTTTTAAGGGCGTTACAAACATTTCAAAAACGGTTTTGTACTAAATTCGACCTAATAAACAATTCCTACGAGGTCTTTTCAAAAGTTCCAAATCACTGTCGCACATAATTACATAATTATGTATGTGCCCAATTCTCGCCATTTGCGGGATGTTTTACTTTTTTAGTAAAACAAAACGAAGGGATTTTTACATCGATACGTAGCCGGGTATAATAAATGCGTTCGACACGATAATCTCAAAAGAAGAAAACCATGGCAAAACCGTAAATAAAGATTATGGTTATGATTTTTTTTTTAACTCACAAAATATAATGACACAAATAATTACTATTCTCTGAGCAAAAAAATAAAAATCAGAAACTGATTTCTATTTTTAAAATAAAACTCATAATGATTACGGTCCCTGATCATAGGAGATCGCTATCGAACGCAACTAATGCGCCTTAGTCGTGCGCTAAAAGAAAGGCGGCAACAATACAAAGAGCCAGTGGCGGATTTAACAGGTGGGCAAAGGCGCTTTCAGGGCCCCTCTTGCTGAAAGTTACACCTTCGATTTCTTTCTCGTATGGGGTGACAGGGGGGCCCTGGAAAAATTTTGCCCACTGGGCCTTTTTCCTTAAATCAGCCACTGCAAAGAGCTATCTAGTTATCCTCCAAAACCACAATGCTTGGCCTCACTTCGCAAAAGTGGTCAAAAAAGTATTTAGAAACGCTGAAATGGAATGACTTGCCCCACCCACCGTTTTCCCTAGATGTCGCCCCTTCTGACTTCAGCCTATCTAGTTCGATGACACACGGCCCAGCAAATGAACATTTTCAATCCTTCGAAGAATTATAAATGTGGATTGATTCATGGGTTGCGCCAAAAGAGGACTCCTTTTTTTGAGCCGGGATCCGAAAATTGGCGGAAAGATGGGAGAAAGTTGTCGCTAGCGACGGACAATACTTCTAATAATACATATGTATGCACTATTTCGCAGTAAAAGCAAAGTTGTAGGTGAAACAAAGTTGTACACCCAAAAAAAAAAAGACTTTGCCGAAAAAGTCTTGCAGTATTTCCGCTAGGTGGGTAAGTGTGTAGTTTGAGTTTTATTTGTCGCATCGGGTCACGCTAGCTTTTTAAACAGCTCTTTAAATAAGCTTATACGTGTTTGTTTTATTATTGTTTGTTCTTAGTGGTTCGTGAGTTATAGCATCGCAAAAATGGAGCAAATTAAGAGAAAATACGGCATATTTTACAGTACTACTACGATAAAGGCAAAAATTCAGCTCATGCTGCCAATAAAATTTGTGCAGTTTGCAGAATCTCCAAGTGCAGAATCTCGAAGTGTGCCACAAGTGGGTCACTTACGACAATGTCAAGCGCAAACGGTCGTAATCGAAAAGCGGTGAAGCTGCTCAGATGGTGGCCAAGCCTGGATTAACGGCCAGGAAGGTTATGCTGTGTGTTTGGTGGGGTTGGAAGGGAATAATCTACTACAAGCTGCTTTCCTATGGCCAAACACTCAATTAAGACCTTTACTGCCAACAACTCGATAGCTTGAAGGCATCACTTATGCAGAAAAAGCCATCTTTGATCACCAGAGGGCGAATTTTTTTCCATCTGAACAACGCCAGGCCACACACATCTTTAATGACGCGCCATAAGCTCTGGAAGTTTGTATCCAACGTATAGTCCGGATCTCGCACCAAGTGATTACCACCTATTTTTGTTCATGGCGAACGCTCCATGGTCCAAAAGAGAGTTCTTCTGAAAATTGGCTCTCCGAGTTTTTTGCCAATAGAGAAGCGAGCTTCTAAAAACGGGGCTTCTAACTATTATAACCAATTTTATGAACAATTGAAAATTTAGTAAAAATACCCCAAGACTTTTTTGACAACCTTATACATATATAATCTTGATTAGGATTCTGGATATAGGCATGTCCGTGGCACCTTCTAATACACGTGTCGTGTAAGAATATTTTTTGTATGCGTAACTCTTTATATCTATACAAAAGTTATAAAGGCTTTTCACCGGTATTTTACCCCTTCAATAGGCTTTTTTATCATATCCAAAAACTGGACCACTGTTACAGAGTTAATTGACAGTTATTTTAAGTATTGAAAGCTTATAAGCTCAAAATGTTCATTGTCATTTTGTAAAGCCTCTACTCAACTTATCCTGACCAAATGCTTAATTGCATTATTCACAAAATTGCAGCATCTTAGCCTGTAGAAATTTCGGCCCTCTCTACTACAAGAATCACTGTCTGCGGGAGCTAAATTGAAAAACATCAGAAAAGAATTATCTTCAATCGATAACAATGGAATCACAATATACTTGTATGTTTGCGCTACAAAGGTTATTAGACGGGATTATTGATATCTTAGGCTGCCTCATGTTTAGTTAGGCCATTTTTCACATATAAGACCTTTCCTATAGCAGAAATGCTTTTATCCAACGTTGAAACTATTCAGAAGTCGACTGATGGCATTATGAATAATCCACATTACATAAATAGTGCCATCAGCATCAGTGTAGTGGCAAAATACAGTTAAAGCTCAAAATCCTTTGCAGGAAATTGAGCAGTTGTCTCCAATTCGAAGATATGTGTCGTCTCCAATATGAACAAATTTTCAAAGTTGGGTTGGTGGTTTTACCCACCCAGTTTTTTCATTTAAGTCTAATATATTAACTTTTTTAATATATTAATTGAATTCGAATTTAATCGCTTTAATTGAATTTTTAATTTCTAGTCTAAGATCTTGTTTTTTAGAAACAAGGTTTAAGGTATTTTATCTTTTTAACCTTCTAGGTTAAGGTAAACCTCAGCGAAGGTACTTAGCTTTGGACTCTCTAAGGTCATGGTTTAAAAAATTCCATACTTTTTTAAAAATTGACGAGAAGTGGTAAATATTTTTAAAATAATATTGTCTTCCGCAAATAACCAGAAAACAGCCGATTCTTTCTAACAACTAACAAAGAATATTGTTTTTTTCATATTTGCGATTATTAGGAATATCATCATTTCTTTACAGTTTCAGGTTTCACAATCTTTTTTCATATCCTTACGATTTCCTTTTGTGAAACCTTATTTTTAATCTTAATTTTAAAAATACTTTTTAGGTGCATAAATTATTTTAAGTTTAACAGATTTATTTATTTAAGTATACAGAATATGCTTTAATAATTTTTCTCTTGGCACCGCTTTACCTGAAACTCTCGGTTGTAAAGTTCGTAGCAATTCTCAAAAAGAAATTGATAAGTAGATCGTAGACATGCTTTTACACAGTCTTTTACCACTGTGCTTGCTCTAGGTGGACTTGACAATTCTTGAACCTAAGAAAAAAAGTTTGTTTGAGTCTTCCTATTGTGCATAAACAAAAAACTTGTATTTACCTTCATTCGAAAAAAAGTTATACTTGTCAATAAATCGACGGTTGACTTTAAGTCCATTAGTTTTTCCGAACTAGATGCGGGAAAGTTGTTTCTATACATTGACAAATCAATTCTGAGTGAGTTGTGTAGCTGATCCAATAACTTAACAAATTTTTCTTTCTGTTAAATCAGAACTGGTTTAGTGTTTTTCCATATATATTTAAATATTTACGATACGTACCCCAAAATTGCTAGCAGCAAAACGATCACTAGCAGATACTGCAGACGATGCAGTGGTATGCGCATAATACGCGTTAATATTGGCTAAAAGTGTGCTCATTACAGCTGGTACTCCAGGACACAAATATTTGGCCGATAGACAGTGAAAATGAGTCATAGCCTGATAAATGTTCTCAATTCCATAACGCATTGAAAACTCGTCAACAATCTCTTCTGGAATTTCATCAAAATACAGTTTCCAAGCGTCATCGCCTTTTTGAATTGGCAATTTAACCTTATAAAAAAATTTATTATTTTATAATATAAAAAAAATATTTTTATTATAAGGCATATTACTTACCATTCCACTGTTTTCCTCACAAAGATAATGAAAGAGATTCTCATGCAAGCAAGTATATTGCACATGATAAGGAGCCACCTTTTCCTCGCCCTTAATTTCCACTGATATATGAAGTCGTATTGCGCCCGAAACAGCAGATTTATCCGTTCGCTTCTCTAGGTTATACCATACATCCATTTCTCCAGACAGTGTACGAACTTCGATTATCGTTTGTCCTAAAAAGTCGTCCGACTCTCGTGTCAATTTTTGTCGAAGTTTTGACTTTAAATCATTGTCTTCATCCCAAACGCGCACTTTTATGCGATCAGAGGAGTTATGACACTCGCTGCACTCCCACCGAGCAAGCGATCGTTGAGTAACAAAATAGGAAATATGTATAAAATTTGAAATTAATACCTAAAACGAAAGCCGTTTCCAACTTCCGTTAATATACTCTATTCTTACATATCCATTTAGAATGTGCACAGAGAACTCACCAACTATAAGAGCGAAATGGAGATAAACTTATCCGTATCGTGAATTACGTAATTAAAGATTACATTAACTTTCCTCATCTACATTTCACTATACTTTGCATTTTGACTTTGCAGTGTATGTGTGTACATATATTTTTTAAATTCGTAGCTTTAAAAGTGTTCAAAGCTTATATCTCGAAAACTTTCCGACAAATAATTTAAATCTTAGCAATAAGCTTATCTTCTTGCAACATTTTTTCATTAAGGTTCAAAAATAATAGTTTTTATATTTTTCTATGAGCCATTATTGATCAAAAGCAACATACGGCATACTTTACTATGCGATCAACCATCATAACAACAACTGTAACTCTGCACTATGGGGTTTTTGACCTGTTTTTGTGGCATTAATTAATAACTCGGTCAGTTTTGGAGATATCGACATGAAACTTTACCAATCGTTATTATTTGATCCTAGGCACATATAGTATGAAAATCGTTCGGATCAGGAAACTATATCCTATAGCTCCCATAGGAACGTTTTGGTAAAAGTAAAGATAAATTAATGAAATTTAAGGAGCTGATATTTTTTGCTATTTTAATACGATATAGCAATTTTGAATCAAATCGGATAGCGCTTTCCCGGGGAACTATCAGTTTAAAATACCGGATTTCAGTGTTCTTCCATAAAAATGCATATAAAAGTTGAAAAAGAAAAATTCCTTCATACAGTAGTATTAATCTTATTATTGATTTATTTCATTTTCTATAATATATCAATATTATCTAACATTATTTTCGTATTCGTACGAAAGCATCTCAATTACCTCAATTGGAAGTATAAGACTCTTTAGTTTTTTATGCATCTCGATAAATTAAGGACGAAATAATTGGATCTGATGTATCCATATCTCTGTTGAACACATCAGCGAAGGAATGTAATCGGTTGTGCTTTCTTGAGTGGTGACGCCGGTCTAATTTATACAGCTGGTTTCAGGACTCAGACGCTTCTTTTCCAAAATAGCCGACTGGAAGCACCGTATTTTCCATTACTTCCATTGAAAATTGGTGTCTTTTTTCTTTCAAAACGGCATTATCCACATTGTTATTTGCATGGCGTTCAAAAAAACATTGTACAGCCATTTATTGCTCAGCCTGGCCCCTTTCGCTGTTCCAAGCAGCGACCAAATCGGCTTTGGAGAAAGTGAGGTTATCTAAGAAAAATTCAAATTGCACCAATAGTGGAGAAAAGTGCACAATAAGACTAACAGTCTTTGCTCAGTATTGACAACGCTACAACATACACTTGGACGCATTGAAATCTTTCTATTCCTTCTATTTCAAAACTCTTCCCAAAGTTGAAATTTGTTTCCCAAAATTCAGCTTAAGGTGCATCTATAAAATGACAAAATTTTAGTATAGACACGCACAATTTAAACAGTTAATACATTTAACATGTAGTACAAACCTGTGAAATCAGTGTCTATTACTATTTTTCTTTTTAAATGGAGTTTTAAACAAATAATCTAATTTCTCAAATCACTATGTGAAAATTGCAAACTTAGCGCACGTGCTTTCGAATGCAACAGCTGACTTTGTAGCTGTTATGCTAGCATATGGTGCTAATAATCAATATTTTGAGTATGAGGCATAATAGTTTGATGTTTTCTTAATACATTCCGATTAATTTTTTTTAAATCAGAGAACTTTCAAAAAATGATTAAATGCCACATAAAGTGGTCAAAAACCCCATAGTGCTCTGTAACAACTGTAACGTATCAACCTAAAATTATAAAAAAAAAACTAATAGAGAGTTTAAACAAGAAAGGACGGCTATAGTCAAATTTCCCGCCTACATTATACCCGGTACTCATCTCTTTCACACACAATTTAACTAACCTTTATAGTTTAAGCTTTAAGGGTATGGATTCTTAGCAAAAAGTTGTTGCATACTTTGGCGCTTGGGAAAAACAAAACAACAAACTTAAGATACTACCGATTCAGTAGGAGAGCAGATAAAAAGTCACCAAGGGAGCTTAGTGTATGTGTACTATAGATTAGCCATAGGAATAGTTTGGTAAAAAAACATTTTCCAAAAACATAAACGAGCTGGCGCTAACACCAGAAACCTGGTTTTGAAGGCGGGAGTGAACGTGGAAAAATTTTTGTGTACAACTTGATCTGCGCTGATATCGTATCAGATCCTAAGTTCCAAATCTGATGGTTCTATCTCTAAGAGTCTTCGAAATCCACGCGTTCTAAATTTTAGCCCGTTTGTATGGGAATTTGTTTATATATGGGTATATCTTCTCCAAAAATTGGCCAGTTGGGATGAAATTTGTTTTTCAGATATATATTAACTATAAGAGTAGTTTTGCATCAAACGTTTGTCAGAGGAGGGAAACAAACTTGAATTGCGTTGGTATTGTAGGAGTCTCCATGCCATATCTTATTGCTCTATCTCTAATGGTCTCAGATCCACGCTTTCATACGGACGGGTGGTAATGGTTATATCAAGTCGGCATAAGTGACTTAAAAATAAAGGTTAAAGGCGAGCAAAACTATGAATCCGTGACCGAATATCTCCTAGTAGAAAATTAAATTTCAACAATTATAAACTCTGAAGAAGCATTTTCAGTGTGCGTCCGATCCGAATAAATGATGTATGGTACTAACCGAAAGGGTTTCTTTTAATTACAACTTTTTTATGAAAAAATTTGACAAAAGTAGTTTGATAGTTAGAAGCTGGGTTTATAAATAATCGATTTCATTTAACCGACTTTTTGAATGTTGTCTGGATGGAATAACACACATAAAATAAGACAGATTGGATATGTATCTGACTAAAGCCCTATTCACATTTATTAATGGCGGTTGTACCATTTGTTTGTTTTTAGTGCTGGGAAACTGCATATCTTTTAAATTACAAACCACTGGCTTCATAATGTTTGGAGTCATTCGAAATTTTTTTTCTAACTCATATCTTCTTACTCCATTGTCTACCCATTCCACTTGAGTTTCCAATTAAGAAATAATTTTTACTTTGTATTTGCATACACATGAGCATTCGTAGTTTTAAAATTATTAAAAGCTAATAACTCGAAAACCTTTGATGAATAATTTATATCGATTTAATGACCTTTAAGTGTATGTTCTTGCAAATATTTTTTCAACAGGGTTTAAAGGGTTATATACAGTTGTGATATATGAAAAAATCGATTTTTTTTTTATTGCATATTCTTTAAGTATATTTTTGGGAATACTCTCACAAAAATTCATAACGATCGGAGCATTAGAACCGAAGCTGTAGCTATTTATAGCGCACTATCTGCATATTAATCCTGAACAAACTTGAAACTTTAAACGCGATTATCTCAGAATCTTTTTTTTGGGAAATTACCTTTGCGGTGGACACGATTACTAAAAAACTACTAATCCGATCAACACCAAATTGACCACTTATTTATTATGATATTAGCTATTCCGTGAACGAGGGATTTTCAATTTTTTTGAAAACTCCTTTTTTAAAGCACAAAAAACGAAAATCTTATACGTTGAAAAAGTACATTTTTTGTTAAAAACGTCGCCATTTTTTTTTTATCAAAATTTTTAAAAATCCCTCGTTTACGGACTAGACAATACAATATACTAACTAAACTTTTTTGAATTTTGGATTTCGGATGAACCGTTTTCGAGAAATCATGTCCACCGCAAGACACCATCGAATAAGACGATCCGGGAATTCGGCTATAACATTTTTGTTATGTAATATTTTTTTATGAAAAAATTTAATACAGTACCCAGAAACATGAACTAAACAAATTCGGTAAAACATTTTTCATAAATATTTTCTATGGTGTCGAAAAAAAATCGATAAAAATCCATATTTTTGCGCGGTACAACTGTATATAACCCCTTAAGTTAAGTGTTTGCATATTTAGACAATAGAAAATACCGTGCATAATCGTTTTTCTAGCACATTAAGATTCGACAGTATCTCCAACAGGATTGACTTTTTTGAAAGTGCCATCCGTCTCCCAAGCACCGTCCATGCGGGATGAGCCCGGGGGATCCCATTGCTTTATCAAGTCTCCCATTTCCGGTTTCTTTTAGAGAAGATATAGACATATACATTTCAATTCTCGAAACTATAAGACATAAAACTATCCGATTCGGAACTTAAACTCGTATGGTATCCGCGAAGATCAAGTTTGTAACAAAATGGTGCGAATTCCACTACCACCATTGAAACGGAAATCTTGTTGCCGAGCAAGTTCGTTTATGTTTTTTGGAAATGTTTTAATAACAAACTTCTGGCCCACTTTTTTGAGGAGTTAAAGACTTTTTATTCTGTTTCCCTACTTTGGTTTTCCCAAGCGCAAAAGAATGAAAAACATTTTTTGAAAGGTTATTTAAAGTGTGTGGAAAAGATAAGTTCCGGGCATTATACAGTCGGGAAAATCAACTATAGCCGGCCTTTCTAGTTAAGTGTTGGGAAACTGTGTACATTTAAAATAACAGGCTAATGATATTGACAAAATTTAAATTGGACTGTTACTTTGCTACATCATCCGCCACGTAACAGCACCTTTAACCTTAAGTGTGGGACACTTAATTTTTCCTTATAACTGCATATGTAGAAAGTAAATGAAGCGCAATTTTTGCCAACGGTAGCCAATTTTTGCCAATTTTTGCCATTTTAAATTTTATATTCATTTAACGGAAAATGTTCATATGGTACCCACAAACGAATCTTGCCCGATTTTCACACGGCAATGGCGGGAGTGAGGCAAGAGTCAAAAAAGCCGGCAGTTGTCAACACATCAATAAAGAGGTCATGCAGAATGCAAAAACGCAAGAGGGGTCGACAAATAGAACGTTCGCCGAGGTATCTTAGCGGCGAACCCTCATTGGAGTCCATGATTTGAGATCCAAGGATGGTCTGATCCCCAAGGTCGTAAATTAGCTTCCGGTCGCTTGTTCGGCTTTGTGTTGCAATTTTTTTAAAGGGATTTTTGTAGTGGAAGTAATTAGATAAAACAAAAAGTTTGAATAATAATTTATCAGGATTTTACTGTGTGTTAAATTTAATTATTTTTTCAAATTGGGAGTGTTTATATTTACATTTTAGCTGGATTTAAAAAAATAAATTCAAACGATGAGACGGGTTTTGTAATAAAGTTTCGCATTATTTTGGAGTAAGTTCAAATTAATTTTGTAGCTGCTTAATTCTGAATCAATACTAGAGCTATTAAATTTTTTTTTGAAAACCTATTATTTTCCAACGTCAACTTGTCTTGTGGGGATTAGCCAGAAGCGTTATCGAGAAATTCTTCGTTGAAAAGCTTAATTGTTCTTTATTCAATATGGATCACATTTTCATAACATATTAAAAATGGCATAAACATTACCATATGTGTGCAATATTATATTAGCTGCCAAGCATTTTTAAGAGCCCGAATTAGTTAATAAACTAATAAGTTCAAACCCGCTCCGTTCAGGGATTTATCTAAGTACGAGGGAGACACACACCTATGCATTCCACAAAAGTGAAAGCGAGAACGGTAACGGATTGCACGAATAAAAAGTCCGAATTTAACAATTGCACGTTATAAGTTATTTATTCTGCAGGCAGATGAAACTGGATGATCATTATTTGTGATATACCAGTTTACGTTGCTAAGAAGTGACTTATTGTAATGAACAGAGAGTGAGGGACGACTAGACATAGCGAAGCTAAAGCTCTCGATAATGGAGAGGGCGGCCCGAAATAGACCTTGTGGAGCTAGAGCTCTCTTAAGATAGGTCCTTTGAAGTCCAGCGGCCGAGAAAGAGTCGTCTTGCGACCAACAAAGGTGATACGTCCATACTTAAGCATAATAAACTAATGTTAAACTAATTAAGCGTCTGCTGCCTGACCCGGCAGTGTTTGTCACAACAAAGTCAGTAGTTGGTAATAATAATACTTTTTTTTATATTCTCGGGACCAACCCGTGAATTCCCCTTCACTGGGAAATGTCCACACACTCTTTGCGATCGCATAACGGACAAACTTAGGGTTATCTTAGCATGGGCAGATAAAAGCGGGCTAGGAGCTAATCCATGCAAGACCGTAAAAAAATATTAGGATGGATCTACACGGAGTTCATAAGACCTATGCTATTTTACGCGGTAGTGATCTTGTGGGCTGCCCCAAGAAACTCCTTTCGTAGGGAAAGCTTTAGGCAAACTAAGGGGATGACGGAGGTCTGCATTACAGGGTGGCTCTGTACCACACCAATTGACGCCCTAGACCTAATCTTGGAGCTGCTGCCTGTAGAGATAATAGGGGTAGCCACGCCATCAGCAATAAGGTTACGATGAGCAGACCTGTGCAAAAGGACTAACTATGGTCATACCAAGTTAGACTTAGCCTAATATGGTCTTTAAAAAAACACCACCGATAACCGCAAGGTTATATGCATTTTTTCAAAATTATTTGATGATAAGCCTTTATAAGAAATATTCTTTACACAAGATTAATCTTAACTTTTATTTCCGTCACCGATCTCGGCTCGGGTCAAAATATGACTGCCTGCCAAATCTTAAATCTGATCCAAAGAACATCGGCCAATAGCTTTTCTCAAACCTTAAGAAGTTTCTATTTGTTTAAAATGTAAGCACATGATGTAAGTATCGCATCCTATTCGAACGGAAGCTGATGTTTACTTTAAGTTTGATTTGTTTATTTCGGTTGGGGCTTCAAGACCGAACCTCAAAGCCAAAGGATTAAGCAATGTCAAAGGCTAATGCGAAGACCGCTGAGATTGAAATTAGAAAAATGTTTATAAATGCCATAAGAGGCCGGGTTTTATGGGTTGGATAACATTTTATGTATTATTAGGATAAATATGTATTATTCTTCAATACAATGGAACTAAAAACAAGAAAGGACGGCAATAGTAGAATTTCCCTTCCACATTTAAACAACTTTTTAAAGTTTAAGCCAGTGCTCGGGAAGGCCCTATTCCAGGGACATAAGAAATTTCATTGGCCTAGCTCTGCCGCAGATACACAGTAAAACTTATGAAACGCCTTGCTCCCAGCCTTTTTTTTGTTATTCGTCACTTATAACATACCTATGCATTAAATTCATATCAATGTATTGCAATATTTTTGCTTTGGAAAAAAACACCCGAAGCCCCTTACTACCCCCTACGACCAAACTATCGACGCAGCACGAAGACAGAAAATAAGAATGATGTGCGTCATACGAGTCCACGTCGGTTTGTTCTATCTCTAACAGTCTTCCAGATCTACGCGTTCATACGCGTTTTTACCGATAGACGGACGGACTGACATGACTACAAAATCTTGACTGTTGATGCTAATCAGGAATATTGTGTATATACTTTATGGGGTCGGGGATGATCCTTCTTCCTATGCAATAATAACATACATTGCACAAATATAATATCCCCCATTCTCTACGAGTACCCGGTATAACTAAGTAAAAGGTAAATTTTTGCACTTGACGACTCGTTATATCCGTTCAGAGAATATTCTATTTTTTTGTTTGTTAAAAGCGTGCAAGGCAAAATAAATCGACCAGTATAGACTTCTATTTATCGAGTTATTTACATTTTATCATAAATAACATATACATACATAATACACATACGGTAAAAGTAATATTTGAATTTTTCAGTACAAGTACTCACAAGTGAAACTTCTCATTCCACACAGGGTTTAGTTCCTGTGGCATTGTCCGAGTTCGTTTTTTGACTTTGCTAACCTGCACCGTCACATATGGATCACTGGTTCCGCTTTTATCCTTCGCTATCAGGCCTTGAGCACAAATCACTGTGTTAAATCAAGTCAAATATAATACGTATCAAATCGTTCGTTTCCAACACCAGGCACCAAAAATCCACCAATTTGTTGCAAGAAAATCCGATTTTTTAAAACGATCATCGCCATGTTAATTAATAATAAAAATTTTTAAGAAAAGAACAATTTATTCATTTATAAATTTTTCCATGAGTTATAATTATTTTGTAAATAATTTTAAAGGGTTTGAAACGAATGCAATTATTATACATTTATTACATTTTAGTGCAGATTAATAGATTTTGAAATATATTTAATTTTAAAGTGTTCAGAATTTATTTTCAAGGGAGAAAGAAGAAGAGAAAAATCGGATGTGCTTAATAAGAATCGTCCGTGTCAGCAGAAATATTTTATAACTGCTGTCCTTTTTTTTTCTTTTGTCATATATGTATTTACACACATCTACATATATTCAATTGGAAACTTAAATCTTCAGTTGATAGGCATAAACAGATATGTACATACAAACAGGTTTGTTAGTAAGTAGACTATGAACTACACATTATAAGTTGGTGCACATTCTATTTTTTAATAGAATAAAAACCAAAAACAATTAAAGCAAGAAAGGAAACCTAACTTCGGGCGGAGCCGAGGTTGATATACCCTTGCAGTTAAAACCGAATATATATCGCAAACATCGGATATAGTTGGCCGATCCTTATGAGAATATCATAACAAAACCAATTATTTACAAAAAAAAATTTAAAAAAAATCGCAAGCCTCTATCTTCAAAAATACCAAAGTTGGTATTACTACCAAATACCATTTCTTATTGTTCAGTTTTATGGCAGCTAAAGGACATAGTCGGCCAATCGTTATAAAATGTGGTATGCTGAATGAACTGACCAAAAATATAATCTGTACAAGTTCAAGCTTTCTATCTTCAAAAACACAAACATTGGTTCTTTTCTGATCGTTCTGTTATACGTCAGCTATAGGTCGGCTATATAGTCGTCCGGTCCGTATGAAATTTGGTATGTTGATTATTTTGCCAAAAATAATACTATATATATCCAGTTATATGGAAGCTATTGGATAAAGTCAGCCGATTTCGGCCGTTCCAACTTATATACTGCGTGCAAAGGATAGCTTTAAAACTAAGAGACTACTTTGCTTAGGAACAGACACATAGACGGACATGCTCATATCAACTCAGAAGGTGATCCTGATCAAGAATATATATACTTTATAGGGTCGGAGATGTCTCCTTCACTGCGTTGCACACTTTTGACCAAAATTGCAAGGGTATAAAAATACAAATTTTACAAATTTATGTTGTACATCACTGTGGACTATAGTTCACGTCGGGGTCGAGCCGCATGCCTAAGTGATTGTGAGGAATTCAATATTTTCTAATTTTGTGCGTTTGATCTGTCAAAACCTGTTATACACTAATTTAAAAGCTATGCTACACGAAAAGCTACCTTATTTTTATATATGCATACATATATACAAGTACATATATACATATGTATATGTATGTATTATATGTTTTTTTATATTTTACATATGTATATTTTTTCAATTAAATTTAAATATTACTTATTAAAATACTATAAATAATTCTATTACTGTACTTCACCCATTCAGTTTCGAAATTTTGTTCAGAAGATATTCAAGAAAAAAATAAAACGTGAAATAAAAGCTAATTTCTTATTATTTGTCATAGTTATTAGTTATATCCTTGCAGTTTATGTAAAATTCCATAGAGCTATCTAAGGGTTCTGTGGCCGAGTGAGTCTCCCAACGTGGGTTGCAACCCTAGCAACTATGGAACGAAAATTTCTGAATTCTTTCTTTCTTTCTTCCGTTAAATTTTAAGCGTGTTGGTCGCTGTTTGCTGACTACTTTACTATTAATGATAATAAGAAAACGACACACAGAATCGTTCTACGGTTTGTAAGTGGAGACAAGTTAGTGGAGACCAAAGATACAATTTTTGTTAAATATGAGCTATTGAATTCTTTGGACCATCTGTTAATAAAACCAAAAACAACCTTATCTTTATAATTCGTTAATGAACAGTGTCAAAAGTAATGGTCCAAGGGTAAAAGTTTTTAAAAGAGAAATGGCTCGAATGCAATTGAGGAGATCAGCTGGGAAACACAAAAAATTAAGGTAACTTAAAGTGAGCACGTGGTTAACAGAGTTAAATTAATTAAAGTCAGTGTAAGTCATAGTCAATCGAACTACCGAACTGAGCGGAGTGCTTTGTCCAAGCTCCGGGAAAACTGCACCGTAATACAGCTAATCAAAAAACTGAGGTAACCCAATATAAGCGAAAAGACGCTGAACTACAATTTATTAAAAGTGACAGACAAGCTTTTTATAACAGTTGTGATGTGCTAAACCAAAACTAGTGCATTGTTCAAAAAAAAAATAAGAGCCACGCAATGAGCTCATTGAGCAACGACCAAAAGAACGAGCGTAGAAGTTCAGTGAACCAAAAAAACGGCTTCTACTCTTACTTTTCAACCCGCGATACCGTAGTGGAAAAATCGGCGATTATAAGCAACCCGGCTTTACTGACCGCTGAAACCCAAAGGGCACGGTCTTGCTCACCCGTTCTGCTCACTCCGACTCCCGCGTCATGGAGTTCGCAGTGTAGAACCCCCCCTCCAATATCGGAAACAACAACTAGCAGCGCTACAACTTCTGCAACAACAGCGAAAACCTCTGCAACTCAAAGTACCGCGACGTCAACGACTACAGCGAGTACAAAAACAACAACCTCGGAAAGTGCCAAAGCGGTAACGGCCACACAGACTGGAATGGATCGCTACATCCAAATTAAGCGCAAGCTTAGTTCGCAGAGTAATCCGGCAGGCAACAAAACAAAAATTAACCGTGTCCTGAAGATCGATGAAGAACCAGACAGATCCACTATTAACCGATTTGCGCTACTGGCGGAGGCTGAGAAAAACCAACCAGGCCAAGACACCGCAAAAAAACCCAAGCCCCCTCCAATCTATATTAGATTGGCACTGTACAGAAAAACTATTACACGTACCAGCTGAAAAGCAGTAAGGGCCTAGTAATAGTAATAGTACAAGTAATAGTAAAGGGAATAGAACCTGATGTTACCGCTGAGGAAATAAAAACCGCCCTTAAAGAAAAGGGCTTCGCCGCCAAAAATGTTATTAACATTCTAAATAAAGATAGAAACCCACAACCCCTCTTCAAGGTCGAGCTTGAGCCAGAAAGCAGGTCGCTGAAGAAGAAAGAAGTCCACCCAATCTACAACCTGCAATATCTTTTGGACCGGAAAATCACTGTTGAAGAGCCACATAAACGCAACGGTCCAGTGCAATGCACTTATTGTCAAGATTATGAACACACAAGGTCTTACTGCTCATTTTGGGCTGTCTGTGTAGTTTGCAGCGATGCCCACAACTCCGCTTACTGCACTACAAACAAGGACTTTACCGTGAAAAAATGTGGAAACTGCAGAGGCAACCATACGGCAAACTATAGAGGATGTATGGTGTATAAGGAGTTAAAAAGTCGCATGCGTCAAGCGACCGCAACGCGCAACCAAAATCCACAGAATGCGTACATTGCATCAAAAACTACGCCAGAAGTCTTCTTCGCCAAAGGTGCGAGATCCTTATTCGGTAAACTAAACACCACCAACGGCTTCTCCTATGCCGAGGCTCTACGATCTGGAAGGGAAATTCCAATTCAGCCTTACTCTCAAAGCGCTCAACAGGCCCCAGAACAGCCACACAGCAACACGGAAACTATGATGCTTACCCTCCAACAAAGTTTGATGGAGCTTATGTCATTCATGAAAACGACCATGCAAACGCTTGTTCAAAACCAGAACATGGTGATACAGCTGAACGTAGCACAACAGTCTAAATAATCTATGCAGGCGCTACGAATATCAATGTGGAACGCCAATGGTGTCTCTCGGCATAAACTAGAATTGTCACAATTCTTGACCGAAAACTATATTGACGTTATGCTACTGGTGGAAACGCATCTTACAAGCAAATAAAACTTTCATATAAGAGGCTACACAATCTACCGGACAGATCATCCAGATGGGACAGCCCACGGCGGAACCGGAGTTCTAATCAGAGAACGCATTAAACATCATTTTCACAAAAGGTTTGCAACAAACTAGTTGCAGGCCACATCGATACGAATTCAGTCAAGCAACGGAATCTTTTCAATCGCTGCCGTTTACTGCCCTCCTCGTTTCTCAATCTCGGAAGGACAATTTATGGACTTCTACAATTCACTTGGGGATCATTTTATAGCCGCAGGAGACTACAACGCCAAACATACGCACTGGGGATAACGTCTAGTGACTCCCAAAGGAAGAAAATTGTACAATGCAATTATAAATGTGAAAAATAAACTGGACTACGTTTCCCCTGGAAGTCCCACATACTGGCCAACAGACTCACGAAAGCTCCCAGACCTTATTGGGAAACATATACCCCACATAAAAAACATGCCTCGCAATCTAATAAGTGCCAAAGCAGTCTCGGACTTATCATCAGACCAGTCGCCTGTGATTCTAATGGTTCTTCAAAGCCCAGAAATAACCGAACACCCTTTCAGCCTGACGACGCCAAAAACGAACTGGCTAAAATACAAAAAGCACGTGAGTGCCCACATTGAACTCGGCCCGGAATTTAACATGGAATCGGACATCGACTACACTACGAGCGCCCTGAAAGAAGTACTCGTTGCGGCAGCTTAAATCTCTACTCCCCATGGGAAAGAAGAAGACCGAAACAAATACTTCAAATCTAATCAGCAAATCGAACAGCTCGTGCGAGAAAATAGGCGCACGTGTCGCGATTGGCAAAACAGCAGATCACCAGCTTCAAAACAACGCCTTAAGGAAGCAACCCGATCACTCGACCAGGCTCTTCACCAACAGGAAGAAAATGCACAGCTGAAGTACATCCAGAATCTCTCGCCAACAAGCACAAACTACCCCCTGTGGAGGGCCCACC